TTTCTTTTACAATTTTACAATAACAATTTAATAAGAAAGCATTCTAAGAAATTAAAATTTTACTTTGGAGCAATGCTTTGCATATATGTTTACCCGCACACAAGTGGGTATATATACAAATGCACATATAAAGTACCATCCAAGCACACTATATTCATGACAGGAACACAATACGAATGTATAATATAGACAGTGTTAAAATATTTAAACAACGCATTCCTTCTCATTACATAGACACACTACATATATAAGAAGCTTGTCATTTTTCAGTTTTTGACCATATATGTTTCAGAAGTCTAACAGCATTTTTGAAAAGGCTTCAGGTAATAAAAGCACTTCTGAACCTGAGTAAGATTATGACTGAAAAAGCATTTTGGTGCTCACCGAAAACAAAACATTTACTTTGTTATGAAACATGGTCTTCATCTTTGTAATAGACTCCCCATCACAAAGATGAAAAAAAATGCATTTATTTATGTATTTTTCTTTCCAGGAACAGCTTGGCCCATTAACCTCTCATTAAAACAGACATGGTCAAAAAACCGGACTAGGATAGAAGGTATGCAAGTCTGAACCAAAAAGATATATGTTTTGCCTCAGGTGAATAGCTCAGCATGAAGTACTGTAATTATCTGTGTGTGTGTGTGTGTGTGTGTGTGTGTTTTAAAAAATGCTTGCTCTTATTTTAAGGAGGAATAGATTGGACCATGCATGGATAAACCCAGCAATCACTAAAATGGGTTGGAATCTACCTGAACCTTAAAAACAGACAGGCTTTGGAGATTTTTGACCAATGTTCATCACTCCGCCTAAAATCTCTCTGCCACAGGATCCCAATTGCAAAGCTAGCTGCATCACAAATACTCTTTCCCTTTACTTAGCAGGCCAATCTGTAGATGCTGAAGTACATTTAAGTGCCACACTGAATTATTGTGTCAAGATATGCAAGAGATAGGGTTAAGAAAACACATGGAATTTACTTTCCTGGGTAGCATTTATAGCTGGGTATTCAAAAGAAAGTACTCCAACCAGTTTACAAAGATGAATTAAATCCACAACAGAAGCAAAAAAAAAAGAATACTCTTCTAGAACAGGGGTCACCAACCTTTCGGATCTGAGGGACCACTAAATTCATAATTGTAAATCCTGCGGACCACTAATATGATTTTTTAAAAAAATATATGATAAATAGTATTTAGTGCAATATTTTAAAAATGCAAATAATTTTTCTGCGGACCACCAAAATTTTCTCACGGACCACCAGTTGGTGACCGCTGTTCTAGAATATTATGGTCTGTATAGCCGACACATTCTCCAATTGTTGGTAGGGAAATGAGATTATTGGAACTGACGCCTGCAGTATGGACGACCCCAGTTACCACCTCAACACCACCACAAGACACCTGCACATCGCTATGATTCACCTACAAACTCAGCCGAAACGTGTCGAAAGATGCCTTTTCCCTGCTGGGCAGACTATAAGCTACTACGACCAAGTCACCCCTTTTTTACGTCAGGGTGGTGGCGTTTATAAGCTTCCTGGGACTAGCCGCTGCGTAAACGAGTTGTGTGGGCAAGTCTACAAAAGAGCCGGGGCAAGGAGGCCACCACCCAACTGAGGCCAAGCCACAGTCTTTGAGTGGTGGTGGTGGTGAAGTGGGCGGGGGGGGGTTAAGAATGAGCGCGAGAGGCGGATCGCAGCCCCGCTGGAAGCAGCAACTCTTTCAGCCGCCGCTTCGTCGCTCGCGCTCAAGCGGACGCTTGGCGGGAAGGCGGGCGCAACGGCGCGTGCTCTTTTTTTTTTTCCCCCTTTTGCTGGATGGGCCCCGCTTTAGGCGCTCTGCTCCGGCTGCCCGCCGAACCGTCTGAGGGAAGGGGGGAAAAAAAAACTTTGCAGAAAGGCCGCTAAACCTCTTGAGTGGGTGCGTGGGTGGGGGTTTCTCTCGACATTCACACACACACACAGACACACCGCGCAACAAACACGCATAGACACACTTTCTCAATGGAAGAAGGCAATTCGACAGGGAGCCTGCTTCAGCCACAGGCTGCCTTCCTTTCTCTCCTCCCCCCCCCCCCGCCTCCTTGCAAGCTGCACATTGCCCGCTGAGTTTATATAGAGTACAGCGGCACGCCCCCCCCGTCCCGCCCCCTCCCCCCTTCTCTCTGTCCTTTTCTCTCTCTCTCTCTCTCTCTCTCTCTCTCTCTGTCTCTCTCCCGCCTCGCGCGCAAGGCTCCCCCGCTAACCCTAAGCCTCCGCTCCTTTCCTTCCTTCCTTCCTTCCCGAAGCGTTAGAAAGTCACCGATTGGAGGGAAAGGCCTGCGAATGCAAATGACCTTGGCCTCCCCGACATTCCCTCCCCCCTCCTTCTCGTCCTCTCTCTCTCTCCCTCTCTCGCTCATCCGAAGGGTGTCAAACCAGCTGCGCCCCCCTCTCCCGCCCCAAGCAGAGGAGGCAGCGGGGGTCTCCCCTGCAGCGTTGCTATTGTGGCAGCAGAGAGATCGAGGCGGTCGGCGGTGGCTGTTAGCGGGCGCTAACCCCGTCCCCAAGAACGGCTTAAGGTTCACCACCCACCAGCCTTCTCTAGAGACCTGGATTCAGATCTAAGGGCAGGTGTAATTGTCCAATTCTCTGGATGTCCTAAACACACACACAATCTAAAATCTACATATATGTTTTTCTGCGAGACCTCCTTCCTTCACAAGGGGGAGGGGGGAATCTCTTGCCCAACTTGCATTTGATGTATGAATTCCAGTTATGGATCCTATTCTTTGGCTGAGCAAGCTTGGGACAGAAAGAAAGAAAAGAAAGAAAGAAAGAAAGAAAAGAAAAGAAAGAAAGAAAGAAAGAAAGAAAGAAAGAAAGAAAGAAAGAAAGAAAGAAAGAGGAAGGAAGGAAGGAAGGAAGGAAGGAAGGAAGGAAGGAAGGAAGGAAGGAAGGGGGCTGCGATCCTCCTCCCATTCTAAATTCGATTCCAAAGTCTAGGTAGTTGAATTGGCTAATTCTGCAAACGGGCTATTGAGAGAGGCCAGGCACAGCAGTATATATATCCCTGTATAGCATTGGGATACAATGTGCTGAATTGGCAGTCTAATTATAAATGTGGCATTTGGACCTCTTTACAAGCCAGTGCCACCTTACCTTATGAGGGAACTTCCAACTACAGCAACTGTTCAAAACAAAATGCCATTACAGGATCAGCTTCATCCAACACTGGAACTAGCCAAGAGATTGTTTTACAAATAGTCTTTCTCACTTAACACAAGAATGTATTATAAGAAACACAGTTAAGGAGAAGGAGGCAGAGTTAAAAAGAAAACGCATCAGAAATTCTCTGCCAGGTGTCAAGCTACTCTGAGCTGCCAACGAAATCCAAGTAACCTAATTATTTTCCTTGGTATCTGTACCTCCCTAAAAATACATTTGAAGTGGTGGGGGAGGCAACTCAAATTTATTTTTAAGGAAGATTAAGATACAGATCGAAGAAAGATGCACATTCAAAACGCAAAGGCACACACACACAAAATCCTGCCTAATCCATAACTTTAGAATGACAAAGGTTTGAGTTGTACATCCCATTCACTGTCCATGTTAAAATGGGTGAGCATGGAAAGGTTTCAGTATAAATGCAGCCTAGTTGTAAAAAGTGTGTGTATGATTGTCTGCATATATGTGTGTGATGTGTGTGTGTTTGGACATGTGTGGGTGGGTGTGTGGTGGTTGCTACCTTTTCTCTCTCTCCTCCCTCCCTTATCTACTGGTACTTTATGATTTAGTAAAAGATTAAGTATTCTGTTTTGTCCTGAGGTCCCATTCTTTTCAGCCAAAACCATATAGTGAAAGTTCGCAGTATTTTTAAATAAATCTCTTCTCCTTCTCCTCCTCTTCCCCCCCAAACTTAAAATTAAAATTAGGTCCAAACTTGCCTATCCTACGTCAGTGGGCTATTAAAAAGAAACCCACACCCGCAAAACGTTTTCCTAATCTGCATAACAACAGGCCGAAAGAGGCTTGTTTATCTCAGAAAGTTTCCGTGTCTGTGTTTTGGGGGAAACACCCTGGAGGCTACAACTAATCTCCTACCCGCAGGCTCCCAAACCCGGGCAGAATCTCCCTGACACCCAGACACAACAACGCTCCGTTGCCTTTTCGACATTTGCCCCTCTCCTCTCGCCGTCCTTAAAAACCACCCAGCAAAACCGCGCAGAGGCAAGCGGCGATGAATCCAATCGAGATCATCGGTGCCTCCGATTGAGCCCACGGGCCTGCTTGGCTCAGGCGGCTGTGCCTCCAGCCGGCGAGGCGGAGCGGAGGCCCCGGAACGGCAAAGGGGACGCCTAAGCGCTGGGGAGCTCCGCGCCATCGAAAGCGGCTTAAATTATTCACGTGCAAGCCGCGGGGGCGCCCAGTGTGTGCGCCGTGCCGGGGAGGACCGACCGCCTTCAATCCCACGCTCGGCTCGCAGACAAACGCGCACCCTTAATCTTGGTTTAGAACAGCTTTGGTTTCCCGACTTCGGCAAAGAATTTTAAAATTCACGGGGCGAGTTCATGTGGGGGTTTTTTTCCCTTGAAAAATGCGGGGGGGGGGAGAAGGGGCGCAACTCAAACGACGCACATCACCGGTTTAAACTCGCCAGACAAGTCCCCGAAGAACAAGCATGCAAGCGTGGTTGCTTGAGAACCGGCAGAATTCCACAAAACGGCACCAAACGCTCAACTATCTTCCTATCGGGACTTCTTAACAAACGCTCAACTCAAACGGGATCTTCTCCAAGCAGCACTTTTGAGGGGAAAGAGGGGGGGGAGGGCGAGGAGACACCTTGCCGCACTTCCCCCCCCCCCGCGCACTTCTGCAAGCCCGTTTAAAATTCCTGCTCCGCGGGCAGCCTCCGGGCGACCAAGGTTGCACAGAAAGGTAAACACAAAACAACAATCACGAAGCCCCAGAGAGCAGAGAAAGAGTGAAGAAAATAAAGAGAGACTTCCTGGGAACTTACTTTACGGTTACTTTAGGCGCTATCCTTTTCTTCCAGCTGGCAAGGAAAGCCGTTTTGTCCAGGTTTAGGTATTGTTGCCTACTTACGGATCAGTCCGTGGCTACGGGGTTTATTTTAATTTATGGCTTATGCATTCTTTTAAGGTCGATTTGCATGACCTCCGGCAAGAGCTAAGACACAGCGAGAACTCCCCCGCTGAATGTAGGGCGAGCCCACAACGCCGCCAAGAGCTCCCCTTCTCATGGTGTAAGCAGAGCCCGGTGTGTTTTTGAGCTCTGTTTTTTTTTTTTTCCTCGCTCTCCCCCTCCCTGTAGAACACAAATTAGGGTGTGATATCAATTTTAAAGTTTTCGGTATAACTTTATCCTAGCCTCTGCCTGTAGAGAGATAAGGCGCCGCGGACGCGGCAACTCCTCGATAGACTGCCCCTCTGTGGCCAAAGGCAGCATTGCCTCGATCCCTCCCTTCCTTTCTTAAAGATCCGATAGAGATAGATAGATCTATTAAAGCACGCTAGCGCCGAACTTCTTGAGAAGTTTACCCACCTCGAAGTTAGCGGACGGGATTCAAGGCGCTAAACGCACCTCCTCACTCCCCCAACTCCTACTAGCTTTGCGGGCGAAGGCAGGCGCCTCTTGGAGGAATGACAGCCGCTTTGTTGACGTTTAAAGGTTTTATTTTTCTTCTCTTATTCCCCCGCCTTGCCTATGCTAGTATCTCTGTCTTACGCACAATCTCTCTCTCTCTCGAGCGCCATGTGTTCGCAGGCAGGCAGCGGGTGATCTTAAAATACAACATGGATCTGTCACTACGTTTTAAAATAGACGCCACTTGGAGGGCGGAAGGGAAAGGAACCGGGGAGGAGGGTGGTGGGGAGACAAGAGGCAGGGAGGAGAGAAAGAGAGAGGAGAAACGAAGCAGCATTGTTGTGATTTCTCCTCTTTACGCAGACTTGGGATCTTTTCTGAAAACTCACCCCAGATTAGTAGCGCAAGGACTTTCTCCGTCAGTCTGCTGTTCCCTTTCCCAGCCCCATCGCCGCCACCAAGGCAACCCTCCCCAGAAAGCCTAGCAGTAAGGAACCGTGCTGGGGAATCATTCAGAAATCTCTTAACTTCACAAGCTACCTCCGGACGCGGCGGCTGTTGTCGCGGCTGCTGCTTTGGTCAATTGCAACTAACCAGCCCTTAAAGACAAGCGCCAGGAGTACCGTATTCTCTCGCATATGTCGGCACCAAGGAAACGTGGGAGACCCTCTTTACAGCAGGATCGAGAGATCTACACCAAAGCCAAGCTGTCCGGTGTCCCCACCCCCTCTCTCTCTCACACACACAAACACGCACTCGCAACTTCACTCAACCACAGGTCATAAAGATACAATAAGCGCTGCTTGGGTTTCCTGCCAAGTTACCTTCTTCGAGATCCAGTATGTCGATTTAAAAAAAAAAAAAAAGCCTTGGAATCTTCCTTTAAAAAACAAAAAAAAAATGTGACGGTAGGTAAGGAAACAGGAGAAGCGCGACTGACTCTAGGACAGCATGAATAAACTGCAAAATAATCTATACTAGCGAAAGAAGCAAGCGCAAAGGGCCGCGGCTGAGGATTCTCCGGGCCATGGTTATGTTGCAAAAAAAATCAGATCTTCGGTATAAGTTTGCTGACGGGTTGCCTGGAGATTTAATTACAATCGAAGAGTCATTATTATTTGTTGTTGGGCTTGGTTCTCTCTTTCCCCCCTTGGCCGCCTCCCGCCCCTGCGCGCCGTTCCCTCCCCCCCCTCCTGCGCGCACACACAGAAGGCACACAAGTGAAGGCGCCGCTTTACTCCTGTCAATCTCGCAAATCAATACGAGCGGCCATGTCGTAAGTATTCAAAGCATTTCCCTTCGCGCAACATCAGAGAGTGGCCGGGGCATCGATCGGAGAACGGCGAAAGGAGGCAGGGCTGCTGCCGTCGCGCGCCCGCCCCCAATGGCAAAGGCAGCAGCACGCGCTGAGGAGCGGGGAAGAGGGGAGAGCGAGATTGAAGGGCCGGAGAGAAAGTGAGCGCCAAAGAGAAAGTGAAATTTCATTCTCTCTTTCCCTCGCCCCCCCCTCCTCCTCCTCCTCCTCCTCCAACGCACGCGCGCACGCATTCCCAACCACAAGGCATCTACCTCTCCCTCGCCTCCTCTCGCTGCTTGCTCGCTTTCCGCCGTCTCTCCCTCTCTCGGAGGGCTATTAAGCTCACACTTTCCTGAGAGTAAGGTCCATCCCCAGGGAATTTGACGAGGCAATGGGGCTGCAAACATAGGCACACTTACGATGCGACCGGCATAGTAGTAGTCTCTAAGGTTTACTGCCCAGAAAATGCCTTTTGTTGAGGCTCATCCGTAAATAAGCCTTCTTCCGATATGATAAAACTGTAAACGGACCCCTAAGTCTGCTCAGAAGTAACCCTTTACTTAGAACAAGCAAGAGGGCTAACTCCAGTGAGGTTATTCCTAGTTACAAGTAAAAAAATAATTGAGAAGTAACACAATTCTATGGAAATAATTCCTGGGTACAACTCTAAATTAAAAGCTTTTTTTTTCTTCCCGCCAGCTCCATTTATTTATGAATGGCACAGTCGAGCCAATATTTCGTTTCTGACTGGCTCAAACCTGGGCAGGTTGCCTTCAGAAATCCGACCGATTTCTAGGATTCCCATGTGCGTAATTAGATGCTTCGCGATGGCATCCTTTTCTTTGAGCTTTGTTGGTTTAGCCCTAAAGTAAATTTACGCCTGCAATTTCGCAATCCCATCCAGGGGTTCTTTACGCCGAGGCATTTCTTCAGGCTTCACCTTCACCCTTCAGAATCAAAGCCAAAGCGACTACAATATAATAAATGCCAATAAAAATATTCGGAGACTTAGGACGATGGTTAAGGGAACACTCACAAAACCTTCCGTACGATCCTTGTTGGGTGGGTTCATTTGGACGTCCCGCTTAGACCGCTCAGTCAGCGTTTGTCCTGTTGATACCTTGAAATCAGCGGGACTCACTCACTTCGAGGGCAGGCGGGTTTCTCCCCCCCTCCCCCCCCTTAGATGGATATAGAATTAGCTGCTGATTCCTGAAGCTTTGCTGGGGACCTTTAGACGCCGAACAGTAATGAACTACCCACTCTCATACCTGAAGTTGGAATATGGTTGGAATCAATTGTGGTTGATGAGACAAGGCGTGGGGGAGGGGGGGCGGAGAAGGGAAAGAGATGAGGAAGGGAGAGGCAGGCCTTTGAATTAGGCCAGAAAGGGAGAAGAGGGGGAAAAAAAGCCTGAGATTATTCACTTTTAGAGAGGAACGGCGCAGATCCAAATGAAAGATAAGAGTAAGAGGCAGACAGGACGCTGAGTAGGGATTGAAATAAACTCGAGGGAATCCCGCCCAAGTTGGAAGCGACACTTTGGTTCTAATCCTCTGGTGGAATTAGTTAACTTTGCTGAGCCGGCCGAGCTTTACTCTCTAGCCAACAAGGGCAGAAGAAGCCCCGTTATCCCCCTCCCAAGAAGGTGTGAAGGGGACCATTCCGTAAAGATCCAAGTTTCACTTCTACCGACGACGCCCAAGTCGACGTCCTCGGGAAGGCAGTCGCTGGAAGGCCGCAGGAACTACTCCGGAGTAAGCAGGCTGCGCTTAAGGCCAAATCAGGCAGACGAGTGCCTAGATTCTGCAGAAATCACAGCTATTTATCTCCGCCTGACTGCGGGAAAAACTCGGGAAGGAATGCGTTGAGAGAGAGTGGCGCGTTAAGAAAGTGAGGGAGACGTCTGCTATGAGACAAATAGGCAAAGGATTGGATTTAAGTGATAAGTAATCACTGCACTGGCCTGTGAAAGTGGCGGGGGGGGGGGGGCACACCATGAAGCACCCTGGCCAGAGAACAGCTAGCACCTGGCCGGGTCGTGAAGGTTGTGAAAAGGACAGTTGGGAAGAATTGTCTCTCCCACACTCCATTTTCCTGGGCCGCAAAGCAATTCTGGACGTTTTAGGAACTTTGGTTTTCTCCTTAACAACCGAGGGGGAAGGAAGGGAAGGCAGCGTTGAAAAGAGACGGAGAGGAGATTAGAACACAACCTGTTGCTTGAAAGACAAAAGGCTCGCTCAGTCTTTTTTTTGGGGGGGGTGCAATTCTACTCCTCCCCATCCCGAAAGTCAGTCCTCCAATGGAGGCTTCTCACAATCCCCTGAGGCGCCAGAAAATAACGCAAGGAAATAGAAGTGACTTTTCCTTTTTACGTCTTTTGCACCAAGCCGCAAGGGTTTTTAGTGTAGGATGCAGGCGCCAAATTTACAAAAGTAGAGACCGTTGGTGGGGGGGGTGGCTTCTTTGGTATTTCGGACTTCGCCTTGGCCACCTCCCACCCCTTCCACAAAGTCTCCCCTTACCCGACCCGACCCCCCACCGAATGTTCAGAAAGTAACAGGGAAACTTTTCTGGTTTCAAAGACTCCCCTCCCCTCCTAAAGGCCAAGCTTCAGCGCACCACCGAAATCTTCTGAAGTCCATACGTGTGGATTTGGGAAGAACCCAGACAAAGCCTAAAGAAATTTTTTTTAAATTCCAATGTCCTCCTAATTGGAAAGAAAAGGATGGTAGGAGCTTGCTCTGATCTGGCTGTGTTTCGACAGCCAGATCAGCTGGGAGAAGACAGTGTGTGCGTGTGTGTTGATTTTTAGAATCTAATAAAAGCTTTTCTTCTGGGAAACCCGATCAAGGCTCTGCAAAATATTCTGAACCATCTGAATGCCACATTTAGAAAAATCAGTATTTTAAAATTCTAGATCATTTTAAGAAATAGGTGGTTTGAAATTTATAATCTGATATTCCTCCCAAACTCAAAAGGGAGTTTCCCCAATATTACATTGAATCTACAAATTTCCTGCTTCTTTTGAAAATGAGAACTTTTTAGTATCTATATAATTTGGGTAGATATTTTGTAATTCCACGGATGCCGTTTTTGTAACAAAACTTATTTACAGCTATTTTTTCCCATTCAGTACAGAAGGTTTGTCTACCTACAGTTTGCGCCTTGTTCCCGGAATGGTTTTTTTTTTTCCGTGCAATGTTTCTCTTTGTTTAGTTTGCACGCTATCACTTCGTATTGAAAACGAGAGAGAGAACACATGAGTTAAACACATGAGTTAGCACAGTTTAAAAAAAGAAAATGTGCACAGGTATTCTTTGAACCATTTTCCCTTTTTGTAATAAAGTTGATATACAGATTAAGAGAATGACAACAATGTGCAAAGCGCCGTTAAGGTCCGACGAAAACCGGTAGATGATGAAGCGACCTGTGTAATTCACAAATGCGCAGATTCCTTTGGCTGTCCGCGAATGCGAGTCTAGTAGAAGTCGCTTAGATATCTAACTCTTGAATACCTTTACTTTGCGATACCAAGGTACTACTTCTTGTTCTTACATCTGCATGAGTAAAAGCAGGTCCAGAGTCAAAAGTACCATATCTGATGCTCTTCCATCAGTCTGGGAGCGCACTGCCAGGCGTGAAACCAGCCAAGGCGCCAACAAAGCATCAGGTGGGAAACATTTATTGGCAACCAAACGCATTTCCAACGCAGAAGGGGGCCAATTTGGAAACATCGTCTAAATCTAGAAGAGACAGTGCAAAGGATGTTTGCTAACCTGGAGACGGGAGTGAGGGGGAGAAAGAAATTAGAATTAAATTGCAAAACAAATGCATACTTGTTGCATGGGGCTCAGGTGGGAATTTACCACGCCTGCCCGCTTAATTTGATTCCAGCAAAGCGTACTGAAAAGAAGCCCCTTTTTTTCCCCAAGCTACAGTATGACTTTCGCCCACCAAGATGCTTGCTTTTAGAGGCGATCGGAGCGGGAAAACGACAATCCGAGGCTTTTCCAGATCGGAGAGGAAGCGAGTGTGGGAAGCGAGTGTGCGGCGCTTTCTCCTTGCCCC